CATGTCGACGTTCCATATATGGAGGTTTGTTTTCATAGTTTTAGAATATATATGTAACTCTCAAACACAATCATTTGTTCTATAGTTGTTGGGCCGTTACTTGTGCACTGGCCATTTTTGTTAAATATAATTTTATCGAAATGTTTTGAGTATGGACCACCGTTTTGGTCAAATACATCTTCGTCTAATGTGTATAGACTGTATACGTACACACACATATATAATATATAACGCGAATCGGTAGTAGGCAAAAAGAAATGTGAATTGGTAGTTTATTGTAGCAATAGACGGTGGCTGAAAAATAGTATAATTCTAGCAAATAGAAATCATGCATTCCATCAAATATCCCTTATACATTTATTATTTTGAGAAGTGATTTTCTCAATTTTGCTTGTGTCATCGTTATAATCATTTTCACCAATTTTATTATGACATGACATTCTCTTAAATGTGATATGACAAAACTATCAAATATTTGTCTCACTAATTTAGACCACTCAAAACTATTTAAATTAGCCCACTCAATAATGTTTATCATAAATCGACAACATTTTTTAAAAAGAATAATTAGCCCACTACTCACAATTATACCTAGTCTCCTCCACTATAAACGGGAGATAATAATAACACCCAACAATAATTTTAGAGAATCAGCCACATTTATATCAAGTTAGTTGATTTTTTTTTAAAATAGTTTTGATAGATGAGTATGATATTAATGATCAAACTAATCTTACATATACACAGAAATTTCCATCGAAGGTAAAAAATAATTCTTTTTTCATTTGATCAAACGCCCTTTTTGTAGTTTTGTAAGTATGTGTTCCTTGTGTGTTGTAAGTTTCGTAATGTTCTTTTAGTCATTGTTATTTTTAATAAATATTTTTTTTTGCTTTACAATATCAATAATAGATCTTACTTTATTTATTAGCAAGTTCATAAGTTTAACTCAATTATACCAAATTTAAAGTACGAAAGCTCACTAAAAAGTCTATTAGTGATGGAGATTATCATTTTACCACCTTCAAGAAACCTAACGAAGCCAAAATATTTTATTTCGAATTAAAACAAAAAAAATCGGTTAAATATACTTATCTCGAAAAAAAAATTCTTAAACGATTACCAATAATTAGCTTACAAAAATATCTATCATATAAATGGGAATATTCTAATTAATGGACGTTTCCAAGATCCAAAATTTATGTAACATCAATTCTAATTTTGAAGTATGAAAATCTTTAATAAATGGAAATATTCGATTTCAAAAACAAATTCAATATTTTTACATATCTGATTAATTAGTCGACGCGATTATGGTCCAAAATTTATGTATCATCAATTCCAAGTTTAAAGTATGAAAATCTTTAATAAAATCTCCACAATAACGATCTTGTGGAAATATTCGAATTAAATAAGAAATACTATTGTGACAAAAAATAATAATAATAAGAAATACCATATTCTGATTAATTGATGGACGTTTACAAGATCCAAAATTTATATACCATTATTTTCAATATTAAAACTATGGAAATCGTTAAGAATATCTCCACAAAAACGGTCTACTTACATTACAAAATAAATATTCTTAAATATACGATTTATTATAATACATTTAAGATGGAAAAATATCCGAAATTTTTGTACCTTCAATTCCAATTTTAAAAGATGGAAATCTTTCTAACAAAAAAAAATGGAAATCTTTAATAAATTCTCCACAACACCAATCTTTTTGGAAATATTAGAAATAATTAAGAAAATGATAAATGTCAATCAGATCCATATTTTCTAAATATAATTCCTTATACATTATTTGGGAAGTAATTCTTCCAAAAAAATTATGTGTCTTCTCTAAATCATTCTCCTAAAATTTATTGTGACATAGCAAAATTTATCAAACATTTATTCCACTAATTTAGCCCACTAAAACTTATACCCAAGAAAATTAATCTCACAAAATTATTTAAATTTAGCCGACTAACTAAAAAACTCAA